CGGAGATTCTTAGGTCGTTAATTTTCTTTCGAAATTCTACTCAATCTACTCGCCTTCGAAAGAAGCGAACTCGACGTCGTCTCCTCGCACATCACGCGGTTTACGCGGCAAAATTACCCATTAAGTTCGTCGCTGGCGCAGTTATTATGTCTTTAAATCTGTGTACCAGTGTACCTACTCAGTAACCCCGTAATATTCTCACACACAGAGTTAAACAAGAGATGCAAAAAAATGAGAAGATTTTCAAAACGCTTCTACAAACACGTAGAGCGTATAAACTGCGGGCGTTTTTAAATGTCGGCGATATTATTTTAAATTTCGCAAAATTGTCGAAATTGTGGCGAGCGATCGTAAAAGTTTGCCCGCGGGCACACTCTGGGGCGCGTGTGCTGCACCCGCCGCCACCGTCGCCGCCACACGAAGGCAAGTAACCGTATAAATATAAATCCGGTACGTGTTCCAATTTAAACGCTGTAGGAATTTATGCAGAACGAGCAAGATTTCAGCTATATTTCACAACATGCACTTGCAACAATGACAGATACTTTTTTTAAGCTATATTTTATTACAATTAAATAACGCGCATGTACGGTTGCGATAAAAATCGACGCGATAAGCGGCAATTATATGTCAGCATTAATACACTTCAGAGTTCATAAGAATGAACATTAAATCTTGATTTGAAGTTTGATTATAGAGCTTAATGTAAGTTTAATGTCGGCTGCACTTTGAGCGTAATAAACGTTAGTTAATTAATTGTCATTTACGAGGACACGGGGAACAAAACCGTATCGAGATCTAATAGCAAGCCTTCTTGCCCCCAGCCCTGGGGTGGTCGCATTCGAGTGTCATGTACTACGATTGGGGTGCGCTAATCGATGTGAGCGCGCGTAATAAATCGAAAGTGCCTCACTAAGTGCCGATATAAACAAGGTGAAGTGGCTTGTCAGATACAACGATTCTCGATTACGACTCAAGATACAACAAGATAGGATGCGGATGGACGATGGCCGATGATCTGCCGTTGGAGAGTCCGGACAAATTGGTAGATGGGGGTGAAGACGTCTCGGACCAAACTTCCAGACGATTGTGCTTTGCACTCGTTTATGTTTTTCGTTTTTCCGTACTGTCGACCGCCTGCTGCCCTTTTTTCCACGAATGTCTCGCGGCCCCTAGTTGCCCATCGTTTAGTAACACGTCCAAGATGGTTTTGCACTCGGCTGTTTGTCGGAGAGGCGTCCGTTCACTTAGCCAGAGCTAGGAGCCTGCACACGCCTTGATCCCGTCCACTCCCACGTCCAGACGTGCTTCGAGCACATTTCGGAGTTTCCGCGTCGAGAGTCCCTTAGGACTGGGCTATGACCGGCGTGTGCACTGTTCAATTCCGTTCGACGATTTAGTGTGGAGCGAGACACATTCTCGTTTAACAATTTCGTTTTCGTTTAAAAATTTACCGCCGCACTTAGAAACGTTTGGACAAACGTACCTCCGGGGCGCATACTCCACCAGCCGCAGTTGGTATTGAGTTGTCTGCTGATTTGTACTTCAACTAACACAACAAGAAAAAAGAGACCGCAGAGTAAATCTACTTGGTTTTACAGATGTTACCTTGAAAACATCGTAGAGTTACTTTGGAATACTTTTCGTAACTGTAACATGCTACATTAACAATAGCAAGACAGCTTTCACCTAGAATATAAACTAGTAACCAAAGACGCGTCCGACGCGTCCATCCGGCCGCCAGTAAATTTCTCAAAACGTGAGCGACTCGACGACATTAACTGCATTAACCGCTGGAATTCATGCGATCTTAGCACGAAACCCTCACCGCTCACCGACGACTGCTGGTATCACCCGCTGAACTTTCGTTTCGACAATTTTCCTCATTAATTTATCGCACTGCTTGTAGATTATGGCGCACCGTGGGTGATAAAAACAAATATAAGCCTATCCAAGGCTCGTTAGGCACGTATACCGCCATGACCCTCGTCCCCCTTATAAGCAAGCCAGTGCTCCCTTAGAGGGTATAAATGCGTCGCCGACCAACACCGCGCGACATCAAAACGGCAATAACTTTAACTTATGGAAAATTATCCGTAATTATAATGTTCTTCCGACTCGGTATTCCCCCCAAGTGGGGTCATGAACACGACATAGGTGGTTAGGCGGTTTCCGGTTTCGGATGGTGGTCCATTGTCCATCTGTTTTCACCCCGCGCGCACTGGGGTAGCTTTTATGGCGCACAAATGGACACAATGTCCCGGCTTTGCCACCTTCACCCTCCGACGCCATTAAAGATATTTCTACCTAAATAACACTTTAGAAAGCTTCTGCGCTTTTTTGCCTCGGGTTTAATAAAACCTCTTGCAGCGTAGACAAGGAGCGATGTTGGACGGGCGGGATTGTGTGCGTGCGTTCCGCGTGCTGTGCGCTGAATTTTAAAAGACCAGCCGGGGCCGGTCGCGGCCGACACACGGTCAGGTTCATCTTTACACCCTAACCGCCTGGCGAGAGAGCATTAGGCGCGTGGCACGTACGCGTTTTGTGCCTCTTCTTCGTCACCGCCGCCGCCGGCGTACATCATCGAATTGCGTAACTTAATAAAATGAAACCTTCATAAAAGGCCCCGCTGACGTTTGTTGAGTTGACGCAATAAAAATTAAAGTGCACTTTACGACCCTTCGTTGAGGTATCTACACATGTGCGTACAAGATTAGCGTTTTGTGAAATTTTATCTTTTTAATTCACATACTGCTAAATATTTTGGTAACATTTATGGAAAATCTAATATAACCTAGCCGATGTAGATTTTTCTTTTGCGAAGGAATAAGCTTTTAGTAATGCACTCATAGATAGTAGATTATTACAAACGTTGACTGAATAATGTAGTAATATTTTATGTCCAATTACATTAGGGTGGTTTCAAGGATAATTTCCCACCTTGGAGCCTCAGATTAAACGCATTATAACCGTCTAATTCAGCATTACTTTGTCACAACTAAGTGTAAATAAGCCGGCATAATAATGCGCGTCTTGACTCCATTGACTCGACGCAACGTGCGCGGCAAAGACTTTCATGGGCATCGGACGGAACGCGTTGAGATTCAATGAGCGGCGGCTGTATTGTGTATTTATAGGAAACCTGTGCTGCGCAGCGGTGATAAGGCTAAGGCGAAAGTACGGTTCGCGCTCGGTGTCTTGAATCGCGAGCGCCCATCGCAACCCCTTCCTGTCTGCTATGTGTTCCTTAGCATGACGTTCGTGTGCGCACGATGCACCCACACGCGCAATTTCGAAAGCGAAAGGCGAGCACCCGATGTCGCGACGTTTGTGTTGGGTCCCTGGCTCAGGGGTTTGTTTGCGCAGCAGCTTAGACAGAGTGGAGTTTCATCACGACGTCACGGGCGCACTGCACGTGCACGCTGCTTCTTTCCTCTTGTTATGCTAAACGAGGCAAAGCGTCTACCGAAAAGAATTCCCATCGTCGTTGGCGCTTTTACCTTTTCCGCTGTCCTAAAACACAAACATTGTTCTCGTTTTACCAGCGCCATTCTCAACGTCACTTCGGCGCCGGACCACTCCGATGCAACCACGCTGATTCGCACGATTCACATTTCCCGCATTCGCCGCATACTTTTCCTGCCTTATATCAAAAACTCCCGGAATGTTACTAACCCATTTCGTTACACCAGCTGCAGCAAGGTTTCCCTCTTCATCCCTTATTTAATGCAAATGCACCCACACATGACGTGCTCATTGCAAGTGAAGCCAACTACAAGTTTTCCTCATCCCTCAGAATGACGCCGGGCGCATCAAAGATGACACACCGAAGAAGTTTCGATGTTCGACGTGTGCCGTTTGCTAGATTATAATTTCGCTCGAGTTTTACGCGCCCTGCCTGCAGCGCACGGCGCGGATGATATACCTGATGTTATTTTCATTTTCCGCGCGCGCGCTCTCACAACTCGGCGCAGAATTGCATAGAAATTGCCGGCGTGGTTGTGTCTCAGCCGCCCGCTCGCATGAATATAAATTTTGGCGATGGGGTATAGTCGCACAGCGCGACTACGGTAAACACACAGACAAGCGCGCAGCGCACACTAATGTAAATATAAATATGCCGATAAACATGTGCACGCATGGTCTACGGGCGTACATCATAAACAAATTCATAAATATTTATGTCGTAAATTGCCCTGCGCCAGCCACGGATACTTTGTATATAGATGGAAGTCAAAACGCGCCCCGAGGCTGCAAAAAAGTGTGTGACCATAATTTTTACTAAGTGCAACACTTTCCTCGTTTATCATCTTAATGTTCGTGGCGCCTATTGAAAATTTCCATTGTTTTCACACTGGAATATATCCTTCGTGTTGAATATAAAAAAAAAAGATTGGAAATTCATGTTCGTTGTAGTTAAAATTTTTTTTTTCGAAAAAGTTTTCCTCCAAAGGATATTTATAAAAATCATTCCGCCATTCAACAAATAATACTAGCGTGTCGTATAGTGAACGCAGGAGAGCTCAGAATTTATTATGAATGATTGCAACTGCAATTGCGGGGCGAGATTAGATGCACATTGTATCGTTTAGACTTCGTGCGCGCAGTTGAGGTTATAACCGTCGCGCCCAGCATGGGGCAGGGGGCGCTGTGCACTCATAATGGTGTCACGGCATGCACGAAACGCATTGTCGATTAGAAATATTATATTTTGACATGCATTTCGAATCGAGCGCCTTCAAAACTCGTTCGTATTCTCAGGGCGTCGAGAGCCAGCGCGGGCCCCTGGGAAAATCCGCGGGTCCCTGCAATCGTTAATTATTTGCTATTTTTTGTGTTTGCGATTTAAGAGCGATCAGCCGGGTCCCGGGTAATTTACCCCAGTTGACCCCCCCTCATCGGCCCAGCAGGTAGCTAGTACATGATAAATAGAAAACTTGTTTATAAACAGCAAATGTTAATTTTACCGAAAAATATAATTGAATTACCTATAAACTTACCAGTGTACAGCTTATCGGACTGCCGGGCACAACGAGTGCTGTAACTAAACGAAAACATAAATTAAAACAAAAATATTTCACAGAATTGAATTATGTTATAATTAACAATCTATATTTCCAATAGTAAAAGGTCGAAAATCGCGACCCAAAGTGCTAAAAAGTGACATTTTTCAATTTTTGCCCATTTTTTTCAATCGCGAATATCTCGTAAACTAAAAGAGATAATTAAGATCCGATCGCAGCGTCTTAATCTACGAACTATTCTCTATAAGATAGGCTAGTTAAAACGGAAATCTGAGAGATGAATTTTTAATTCTTAAGAAAAAATTGCCAAGGGGGGGTGCTTGATACTTTTTTTCGACGATATTTGATAATTAATATCTCTTAAACTAAAAGCGATAGCAACCAACGAATTGCTGATTATGAAAGATTGGAAAATTCTCTACCAGGTAAAAATATAAAATGATAATATTTCCAATAGTAAAAGGTCGAAAAACGCGACCCAAAGTGCTAAAAAGTGACATTTTTCAATTTTTGCCCATTTTTTTCAATCGCGAATATCTCGTAAACTAAAAGAGATTAATAGGATCTGATCGCAGCGTCTTAATCTACGGACTATTCTCTATAAGATAGGATAGATAGAACGAAAATTTGAGAGATGAAATTTTAATTCTTAAGCAAAAATGGGCAAATGAGAGTCAGCTATACATTCACCGTAAGGTGTCTTGAACACGAGTCACTTCTACCGCTACCCTCATATGGTGCTGTGAACACGAGTCACTTCTATCGACGCCCTGCTACGGTAAACCGAATGAGACTCAATTATACAATTGCGATTAATTATAATATAACTAAATAAACAAGGGAAAATCAACTTTCTTTGCATATTCGAGTCAATAAACGATAATAGTGCATATCTTTTAAACTAAAAGCAATAGCAACCAACGGATTGAAAGATATGAACGATTGGAAAATTTTTGCATTAGATAAAAATTTAAAATAATTTAATTTCGTGTGATAAAAGAACCAAAAACGTGACTAAAAGTGCAATTTTTCTGTTTTTTGCCCTTTTCTTTAAATGCGAATATCTCCTAATTATGTCCGACCTTGCCAGTCGTCTAATTTGGTTCACATGTAGATAGTACGTGATAAATAGAAAGCTTGTTTATAAAGAGCAAATGTAAATTTGACCGAAAAATATATTTGAATTATAAACTTACCAGTGTACAGCTTATCGGAATGCCAGGCACAACGAGTGCTGTAACTAAACGAAAACATATATTAAAAGAATAATATTTCATACCATTGAATTATGTTATAAATAACAATCAACACAAAATAAACAATCTATGCTGTTGAATTAAGAAATACTTACACGAGTCTGATGGATCTTTATTAATGACGGGAATCAACATGGGGCCATTAATTTAATAACCGACACCAAACACAAAGCCGAGTGAAGAATGTTATCAAATCCACTATCACGTGACTTGTAATATACATAACAAACGCGATCAGAAACCGGCATTTCCTAACATTAAACAAATTACTATAATCGCAAAGTACAAATAAATAGTCGATTGATCTTCGATTATAACACAAATTTAGAATATTGAAGTCCGAATAAACGATATAAGTCTGTCAAAATACAACTGGATTAACCAGCGACCGGCACGAAATTGGCTGCAATCCACCGATAGTGCATGCCGAAACTGCGTAAACAACGACGGGACAGTATATGATAAGAAAGCAAGAGGTGCGCAAAGACGGCGCGTCGAAGGCACGTGACCTTGTGCGCGAATTTGCAATAGGTACATTACTTGTGATCTAAACTAAACTAGATTTCGCTGCATGCAGCAAGAGTGCAATCTATGAATGCGGCAGATACTAGTCCCACAATTTAGACTATTATAATCAATAATTAATGTTTCCACGTGTTTCCACTTTTATACAGTACATATTGTCAATTAACATGTAGAGCGTCTCTTAAACTATAACATGGCCTTTAGAAACTCACCAAATGTGTATTAGTTCACGAGATACAAGCTGTTATTTAAGCCAACTCTTTGAAAAGTGAAAATAATGTCTATTAGTAAGGCATTTTAAGGACACAATTTTTTTTACCCTTTTTTTAATTGCGAATACCTCCTAACTCTGTATTTTTGATAATTTTTTTTGTGTTTGCGATTTAAGAACGATCAGCCGGGCCCCGGGGTATTTACCCCAGTTGACCCCCCCTCTCATCGACCCGACGTATTCTCACATATTAATAACTGCGGCAATTAACCAGTTTGTCATTCGGTCACGCTTGGACACCGACGTCATCATCTACACGAGACGCGTAAAACAAATGTCCATCGAGTGCTGTGATAACAAACTTTTACGAAGACAAATATTTTTCACTTGTTGATTAATGGTGGGCACCTGGTGATTTTAATTAATTGAGATAATATTTACATACGCGTGGTCGCCAAATCGTCGATAAAATCGAAAAAAATACAGAGTTATTTCTGGTTGTGTAACCATCAAATTAATTGTGAAATAGGGAAAAAAAAGATTTTAAATCTTTGATTAATGCGTCGAAACTCAAATCAATGAAAAATCCCGAAAAATTTGTACAATTACCTTTATGTCGTGTTGAAATTGGTTAATTCCATAACGGTGTGCCGAATTTGATGCATTTTAATGAATGTAGATGCTTTTGATGCGCCCTCATGTGTCGCATGCGAATTTCGGGCGTAAAACTAATGAAAAAGTTGCGTTTTCGATAAACACGTCAACCGTAATAATGAAAACAAGCGGTCTCTGCGCAAACACAATTTTAATTGCAATTAAATTCCGGGCTCGTTTACGCTTTCCGGGGTAACCAGTGATATTTTATACTCGCACTCGTCAATTATTTATTTCTATAATGTTACGATATTTTTATTGCGCTGTTGCGCATTTTATAAATCGCACGCGCATTATTAATTAACGTGTCCGGCGCAATGATATCAATAAATTTCGCTCGACACGTAGCTGTAATGTGTTTATTTATGTGTCAATCGCTTTCAAATATGTTTAAAGCCTTTTTATATTGATCAATTTTAGCGCAAGTCTGACTCGATTTTAATGTAGAATATTTAACGAGTGCTGATAATTGAATGTTTCATAATTAAAGTGCAAAGTGCTATTTTTAATTAGAACATGACATCAACGATAATTGTGTATTCTAATGACATCAGATAATTGATACCTGAATAAAATTTGTTTGCCGATGAAAATAAATGAAAAACGTCGATAAATAGAATCATTAATAATCGTGTATAAAAATCGCAATTATCGTTGCGGGTGGATCTTAAATTACATGCGGCGACGACAGCGCTAGTTTCACCACAATCCATTACTTAATCTTATGTCAATATTTGATGTTGAAGTAATTTGCAAATGGACTCGCCTCACCGCCGTCGTTTAGAAATACGCGTTCTAATTATTAAAACGAGCAGCCGGCTTAATCAAATTAAAAATAATATCAACGTGTCCGTTTGATAACATTTTACATGACATCATTTTTATTCGTACCTGTTATCATCACTTTCAAAGTAAATAGACCGCGAGCACTCGCGTGTTTTACGATAATATTAATTGCATTAAAGAAAAGAATGAGGAAATGTCAAATCGATCGCGCCGACCACAGTGCGGTTGTGGTGAATTTAAAAAGCGTAGATATTAAAACGTGATAGTTGAGCAACAATGGGAATAAATGGAATAATTAAAGAGGCGCTAAACGCCCCAAGCGACGCTGGAATTTAATTAATTAGGAAAATACTTAATTGTGCTTTTATACAATATGCACGCCGTCGGGTTAAATAGGTGACGTGTCGGCGCGCCAATATATGGGTCATGAATTTGCCTCATAAATGCGCGAGCAATGTCCACATTAATAAAATGAAAAAAATATACACAAAATAATTTATCATACTTTTTATAGTCTAAATTAACATGCCTACGTAGTTGCTAATGCATTTATGTAATGAATTAAAATTCTCCGTCGCAATTTTGTCTAAATTTAACTCTGTGCAGTATTTATACACACTACATTAGATGTAGAAATAGAGTATTAGCAACGCCCTAAAATTTCCATTTAGATTTCCTTGCTAGACCGACGCCCTCACATCCCACTGACATGCCTTTCATTCCGCGCCTGAACCTGAAGTTGAGCACAATCTCCTTGCTTATTTTGACGACACTATTCGAATTCTATTCTTCGCAACCGGATGAAGTCCTCGCACATATGTATTAGACGGTTTAGAATCCTAATGATTCCTTCGCCTAAATCTGTTTGTACCCTCGCGTTCACTTTGATATCGCTCTGATTAATTTATTCAAACACAACGAATGTACGCATTTCAATCAAGTAAATAGTGCACGGTATAGTGGTTTAAAAACTTTCTTTAAGCTGGTGTAATAAACGAGTGTATAGAAAGTGTAAAAAATGTTCGTTATCGGGACGTTCCACGTAAACTTGGCGCAAAGTGACGTTAAACGGATTTAAAGTAGAAATATGTTCGAGAGTCGATATTCGACGAAATCGAATACGATGCACGAGCTGCTGGCGGGCGACGTTGGATATTTCTATATTCGCAATTGTACGCCGTTGTTGAAGTGAATGAAATGAAAATCGCACGGAGAGAGCTGGCGAGTTGTAGGTGGGGTATCTTGCGACGACAGGAGGTCATTTTCCACTTTTCTTCTTGATTGCATCCTTTTACTTTTTCACTTTGGCGCCCGCTTTTTGCGTTAACTTTTGCGAAACTTTTCGTATATAAACTCGTCATGCGAGGAAACTATACATTGTGCTCGTTGCTGCCAAGCTTTCAATAGAATCAAAGCAAGAAATTCGAAAAAACGACGTAAAAACATTTTATAATACAATAAAATTAATTTAAAGCTACATTGTGCAGGATGCACTCCTAAGAGGTTGAACATGAAACGAAATCTGGTCTCAGTATGGTAATGCAAACAAATTAGTTTCGCGAAGATGAGAACAACGCAAATTGGTGCATTAACCGCGCGCGTCGCTCGCGAGTAATTCAAAAACTTTGTTAGCCGATACATTTTATCGTCGCATAAATAGCTTTAACCGTTATTGGCAATCGGTGGCGCGATGTGTGCGCCGCATTTAAATGCGCTTAAAGTAACGACCAGAATTACCGCCACTTTAACCCAGGCGATTCTCTTCGAGAAGCCGGCAGTCTCGCGAGCAATGCGCCGCGCGCGCCGAGAGCCAAATGAGTCTCCTGCATGCTCGCGCACTTGTTTTAGTTTTTTAACGATCTCAGCACGACGCCTCGAAGAAGGTGTATGCAAACTTAGCAGCAACCGGCTTAGAACTTGCTGCGCGGGATGCGGGAAAGTTAAGCGGAAAAATTAATGTTTATCGCCGGTGGAAACTGCGCTCGGCTTTTTACAAGTACAATTAAGAGTAAAAATGTGACTCAAAGTAGCTGGAAACATGAAATTGTTTTAAAACCATCTGAATGAACTTTTTAAATGTGTTTTGAAAATAAAATAAAATTCACCCGCAAAGCAGAGGCGTAGAATACGACAGAAAACGTTTAGCGATCGGAGGTGGATCGCACGAGAGCAACAAATGCGGTAATCAATCATAGGGTAGGAAACGCTCGCCCGACTTAATGAGTTCTGCGACAAAACGAACGATTAATCGAATAAGTAACTCGAGGGGCGAGGTGGATTAGCAATTTTATTGCGGAAATTAATTAACGCTCGACGCTTGACACACTCCTACACGATTAAATTGAAACCTAATTTGCGTATTTCATACCTAAATAATTCTCGATAATTTTATTCCAAACATTTTTCCGGACGCTGCGTTTTTTAGTGAAATAAAAGTTATTGTCCGCGAGTAAAATACGTAAAAAATCCGTGCCATAAATCAGAGTTTTACCGAGTTGAGCACATTTTAATCCAATTGTTAGGACAATTTCAATCTGTAACAACCAGCACTCTGGCGTTGGTCCCGTTTAAAAATATCACCAAATCGACGAATAAAACTGCCGGCGTTTTCGCCTTTTTATTTCGATGCGACCATACATCGCCGGCGCACTTACTTGCCGAGGGATGATAACTTGGAAATGAAAATCTAAAGTAATTCCCCTAATGGAATTGGCCTGTAGTGGTGTGTGCGACGCGGCGAGTTCTGCTGATATAACAATTTTCCCATCTACATAACGTTTTTCCATTGCAATCAGCATAATTTAAGGAATCGTCGCGGTCGCCGTTGCACGGCGCCGCCTTCCTGCGATTGCAACTTTAAAATGTATAAATTTCATGTAATGTGACTTATAATTACGTCTGCTTGCGGTTATGCGATGCGCGAACGCTGCGAATCGAAAACACGATGACATTGCGGCTGAATAAATATGTTTACGTAAATCTTGATAACTTTCATGTGAAATACTTTTTTATTTGGTTACTTTCTTCACTGAATGTTTTCTCTATAATTACGTTAATTTAATGCTATTTTCCCTTTAATAATTTCGCCATTAGTTGAATTAATAGTAGCAATAATTCCACTTCGATTAATTCCGTTTCATTTCAATGCACACGTAACCGATTATTATTCTGTTATATTACATCGTTTGCAATTAATGTCCTATTTTTCAAGATAGTTAGTAGTTGCGTGCAGGTAAGTCGCCTGATGTCATTCTGTTATAGTTAGTTAAACGGCATTTTTAATTTTAATGTCACAGAAAGAAAATTCAAAGGATTGCAATTACGTGGCATTTCATTATCCACGCAAACGCCAGTTACATATTTTTAAAAGATAATTACAATAAATCCTTTTTCTCACGTTAATAATGCTTAACATTCATTTTGCTATATGGAATATCTACTTTTGCAAGTAGGTATTCCACATATGTATGAAAAAAATGATAAATACCTTTATATATGCTGTAACTGCCAAAGAAAATCATCCTTCGCTTTTGAACTCCCTCAATATTGGTAATCTGTAAATAATAAATTTAATCAACTACATAAATTGATCAAAATTATTATTTTGATTCAAAAATTACGTAAATAAAATTCATGTGTGCTCTAGGCTGCTTTCAATTATTTAATTCAATTATAATTGTTATTTATTTTCGTTACGGAATTGAATCAAATTATAAATTCAATTTGTTTGCCATCAATCTGTTATTATTTTGACCTCAATGCATTCATTATCTTGCATTCAATTCAAACTAGTAGCAACCAAACCTACAACTACTATTATAAACTAACAATTTGCATAATAGATTGGTGATATCTTTAAGATTATAGAAAATAATAGAGGTGTAATAGCGCCTTAATGCATTATTAAGCTTGTTTGGATAATTCTAGTTCAGCCGAAGCGCATCCGTATCCATATTCACCTACTACTTTGACAAGCAATAGAATACCAATCGAACTGTGATAGATTCATCAGCATTCCGGCGGCGTCACGCGTTCGGCGTTAATTTATGTCGGCATGGTCGATTTGTCCGTCTGTTTCTCGTTTTACGGCCACGCCATCGTAAACGGTCTTTACGACTCCGATACTGCTATCACCAGTGAGAGTGGGCTTCTAACACTGATGCACCAAACATACTAAACATGCACTCGACTCGAGAAGTCAACGTGTTCGTTGCCACAACCATATTTGGCTCGTACTCGGACAAAATTATAAAGCTATTGATTTACTGTTTGTGGTCTTTCTCTATGAAAGCATGAAACTTGAGTAAGTGTGGCAATATCATTTATTGTTATTTTATGTTTTATTTATTGCTGTGCTTTAACATCCGGCAGATGCAATTTATAACTTTTTCGAAGTACAAGTCGCATACTCCAAGGTATTAGGCTTATTACTGAGATTAAGTGAGTAAATATAAATGATCCAACACTAGTTTTTGGCATTTACTCATAATATATTAATAATTTCGCTTAAGTAGGTCATAATGTATCTTGTAATAGTAACATCTGAGCATGTCAAAAATGAAGCATTTCATATTTTAAGTGCACACTATCCAATTTATTGAAAACCGACACATGTCTCCGCGACGAATTTAATCTTTTGAAGTGCAGCAATGTTCTACACATGAAATTGTGCCCTTTAGATATTTATGAAAATAAAATTTCCTAAAATGCATAAATACGAATAAAAGTCGTTCGGGCAAAAGAATAATAAGGTTTTCCAGGATTTGTACTGGAGTACGCTACTCGACAATGTTTTCCATCTTATCAGCGGAAAGGTAAATGCAGAATGGCAAAGAAAACTTTTATTACACAAAGTTGCACAAGTCGCTTTGATGCAGCGAGCGCGCAGTGCGCAGTTATTCGTAAACGTGTTTCAATCATCATAGACCCACCCGGTTGCCTAGATATTCTGCAAAAGGTGCACCTCGTGCGCGCAATCGAAGGCCGAACGGCGAAATCTTGGAAATCTTCGCGTCGTTTTTTGTTCTGTTCCGCAGGGCAGAGGCGGCAACACGCTGCACACATGTGGTACTGACAGAGTACTATTTGTACCTATCGCCTCTTTGCCTCTTTTATAGTTGCATCGAGCGTGCGATGTGCGCGATGATCAAGGGAGCCAGCCAGCTTCCCGCCAGCAGACGGACTGTAAATTGTAAATTGAGCAAAGTTTAAACGGGGCCGCGTGTTATCCTCTATTCGGAGTCCGTTCGCCGGCGTCCCACGGTGCTTGCACATGGCTGACTTTATATAAAAGGCGTATGATTGATGCGAGGCGCGCACACTATACGTTTTCAGCCCAGATCTACTCAATATGTACTTGGAAATTGAAGTTAGGATACGAAAAAGGATAAACGAGTAATAAACATGTGTGCGGGTGTAAATATAATAAAATAAAACACAATTTCGATGGCGGATTAAAAAATATCTCTGGATGGCGAAAAAAATGTCTTGTATTTCAGTGTAATTGAAAACGTTCCCAGCTGGCTGCTGCTGAATGCAAACAAGCGCAGATAAGCATTGGTGGAGGCGCTGGGCAGGTAGTCGTAGGAATTCGTCGAAGCGTCGCAATGAATACGTCTTGGCTTGCGGAGCGTGCGCGCGGTCCGTTGAGGCTTTGGTATTTTTCAATTTATAATTTCCTTTTTTCTCTCCCCGTTTCTATTACTCCGCGTGCTAGTAGTATTCGGTATCGCGCCGCTACCACCACCGCAACCCCCTTATTTCGGTCGCTTTTTTTTACCGATTATTTCCGTCGGTATTCCCCAAACGAGAGGCTGGTTGGAATGCGCCCGGGGAGCCGGTCCAGGGGCGGTTAATTAATGAACGCAATGAAAAATTCTTAATTAAAATGTAAATGTGTCCGATTTCGTTTAATTTCATTCTTGATCGCGTTAATCTTGCGATTTCGTAATTTAGCACTGCCGCCTTCACGTCTTATTTTACTAAGTTTTCTATTACGTCGCTTTTTGCTTAATTTTTCCCGTTTCGCAAATTTCCGCTCGGTTTTTTTTCGTTTTCGTCTGCGAATCGAGCAAATCTACATTTATTTGTACTGTTCCGGGGAAAAGTTTCGGTTAAATGAATATACAGCTGCAGTTGCGAGAGGATAAAATGAAAACGAAAAAGGAGAAAGGCAGCCGAGTAGGTTGCAACAAATCCGAGCCGGGAGAAAGCGCAAGGAATAACCGACTGCCGACGCGCATATTAAATTCAATTAGGAAGCTTTCGCGAAATATTTTTTTTAATCTGCCACCGCGCTCCTCGGCGCTTCTGCGTTTCGGTAACTCGCTCGTTCCCTAGCTACCAACTGCGTTTTTTTTGCTCTCGTAACATTTATTCGTTCGCTCCTTGATCCTCGACTTATGTGCGTTCCACTAAAACTGGCTGCGCCTTCGTAAGGCTGCAAAACGAGACAAGCAAAGGAAACGCGCGCGCGACTAAAGTCGAAGAAATGGCGATGGGTATAATTATAATGCCTAAATTTCATTATTAAAATTCCTGCCGCCTGTGCGCGCAAAAAAGTAAAAAACCTTAAAGTATGAAATAAGAAGTAAGAAAGTAAGACGTACAACGCTTATAATGTGCACGAAACGAATTAAAAGGAGCGTAGCCGAAGCGAAACCAGAAGCACGGCAACAGCGTTGGGGCGGAGAAAAGGAAATTTGATTTTTTACGGTTTATCATTTTTGCTTCATATTTTGCGAGCGCTAAAACATTGCCACATTGCTGTTGCGAAACGAGTTAATTTATAAGCGAGATTAAATTATTTATTAAACGTAGTCCTGCAATTATTTGCGTATATTTTTCTTTTCTTTCGAAAAAAAAAACTGAAAACTTCCGCTTGGTAGAAGGAAGCTTAGGAAGCTACCATAAGCACGCGCTTATAATGGCAGTTTGGGCCTGAAAATCACAAAAGAAATGGATGGCTCGCATCGCAATGGATGCGCCATAAATTTCGTCCTTTCTCTTCGCATTCTAGGCTAGCGCAGTATGCTGGTACTACAACTGCAGAGTCGAACGTACGAATTGCTTTCTCTTCTTCGGAGAGGCGACGCGCTTTTGTAATATATAGTTTTTTCTTAGTTATTTGCTTCTTAAGACGTCGAGGTCATTGCAATTACTTCAGCTACATTAGATTTTTTTATACACTTTTATATCCACCCACGTATTGTAGCAAACATAAAAAACAAGTCGAGCAAAGAAAAAGTGAAAGAAGCACGAAAATTATTTATTAACTATTTTTTGTACGTGTTGCAGGATCCCGGCAGGCCACAATCAAGGTGGATCCGGCATCGCTGCCCACATTCCAGACGCCCAGCCAGGTGTTCAAGATCGTCGACAAGGAGACGGTGATCCTGCCATGCGAAGTATCCAATCCTGGTGAGTGTGTTTCATTTATTGTTTATATTTCAAAATATTACAAAAGCTCAAGGCTGCAGCAGCCGCTTCAAAATATATACTAAAAGTAAAGATTGTGTCTTAGTGCCACAAGGCGAACACACTTTTATCGCGCAACGAGTTTCCGGTTTCATTGAAAATCTGTAATTAAAATCGTAAATCTCTGCGAAGGACTGACTGGTAAGAACACGCGGATTAAAATGGGTCAGGTCGAGAGCATCGGTGTTGTTGATTATCATTTTCTATTTCTTTTTCGCGTTACGCAAGAATTAATTAATTTCACTTTTTTATTTTATTTATTTTAAAAACACCAAATGGCGCACAAAGACGTCCAAAATTGATCGAACAATTCCCAGTGTTCTGAGATTTTGAAAGAAAAATTTCATAACTATTGATTGAATTTCGTAAATTATTATTCAACTTAATAGCTAACATGAACAGCATATTGCCATTACTTCGCAAACATATAAAATATTTACCACCAAAGCGAACGCGAAACCTGCATTTGCGAAGTTTGCACAGAATAATTCTCCAAACGGGACCCGAAAGTTGGTCACCGTTTACAAGGTTTCCCTCTCCGAACCCTTTTCTTCTCGCGTCTCCACATTGCCCCGACATTGCGAACCCCGCACGCGTTGTAAACTATACATTAATTAGAGGTAGCGGCCGTGGGCAGCGGAGCAAATTCCAAATTGGAATTTACGCCGTTTTTCCGAGTGCCCACGCGCTGGTAAAATTGTTTTACTATCACAGCTCTTAATTAAAAATACAGTGCTTCGGCGACAGCCATGAGGGTGACAACACTTGCGGTTTTATAGTTTCGCTTATTGTCTATCGCCGTGACCAGGTCAGTCAATTTGCGTCGGCTTTTATTGCGCAGTTTGCTTCGATTTTATGCGTTCACTTACTTTTTAATGTCCCGGGTCATTTACTTCAACGAAATTAAAATATTTACAAGCTATTACTACCACAAATGTTTGATATTATCAGATGTAATTAAATTTAAATATTTTTCTTTCCAAAGCACGCGAACGCTCATAATATGAGTGAGTGTGGCTTGTCAGTAATGTAATTTTCAAAGTTTCATAGCAATATAATATGCTCATAGCAATATTATGATTATCATTCGACTACCTTGCGCCGGCGAAGAACTCGTGTAACTGTGTCGTAAAAGCACTTGACCAGCGCATGAATAATATATCCTGGACGTGATGTGAAGGCAGTTTTAAATTACGTTCGAAGATGAACGTCGTAAGCAATTGAAGCCAACTTTAGATGACACCGAAGATGCGAAACGCCGCCGTAAACGTGAATTCGCTTCGAATGCTCTAAGAGTTTGCAATTAAATTAGAATTATAAGTAGCGCTCTAGCAAGATGTGCGCGCGCACACGCTGGTCGTTCGGTAGCTGTTTGCTTCGAATTTCGAAATTATACGCAAGGGCGTACGCGACGGGCGCGCAATGTGTCGTCGTAATATTACTTTAATGCGGGGGGCGTAAATGCATTGGAAACTAATACGGGCGGCGGTTGGTAGGTTGGTACCCGCACGCGTAATGGCAAATTCGAGCTGACGACGTTAAGTAAGTCGTTGATAATGAAGTTAGGTACTTAATTTACACCTAATGTACAAGTTAAAAGGACTAACTACTTAAACGTGGTAAAAAATCACTGCAGACATTTACATCTTTCACAAATTCAAATAAAAATGTCATCTTGATGGATTATATGCAGTGATATGAATTCACCCGAGTAACATAAGTATGAGTAAAGTTACTCATAACATAGTGCGGGCGCTGCGGGGGCTAAGCAAACAGCAAAGCGGAACAGTTATTACAATCTGAACTTGCAATATCACGACGTGTCACCGCTTGCGCCGAGCGTATGAACCGACTTCCGAGAACGTCTCGATTTCACGCTAATATGCCGCAACCCAAGCTGTGCAGCCGGAGTGTAAGCTACCCGGACACCTTGGGTTGCCTATATCACACATTATCAACACTCGTAAATCGCGCGCGCGGCTGCCCCTACTGGGCATTAATAAATTCGCAAAAGGTAAATTAGCATTAATTTGGTAACTCGTCGCCCCATCCCTGATATTTGTTGCCAAGCTGTGGGTTGCCTGATTTTCCCTTGCTCAAAGCGACGCGGGCGACAACGACTCGGAGCTATTGCCTGACGTTTGCATAATCTACATTTCTTGTTTCGCTATGAAAAGCGACGCAAAGCGAAACGGTGCGCGCCAGATTGTTTGGGCAAACCCCTTTCAGTGACGCCAAAACACATCTCGCGCCCACTCGCGCACACACATTGATATCTACATACATTTGCACACGAAAACACCATGGGAAAACTTCCGTTCTGCAACATTCCTTTGTCTCCGCACAAGCCGAGCTTTCCACACTCGGTCGCAGTTGATTTTCGCTGTTTATTCAAACAACACATCATTTACGAAACCTGCCAGGGAATATTTCGAAAGGATGTCTTAGACGTTGGACATTTTTAGGTCGCGCACGCCCCCGAGGCAAGATTAGTCCCGGAATAATCCACGTTAATAAGCGCGTGCAATTAAACTTGAATAATCAAATGCTGGCAGGCGGAGAAAAAACATTTTGCGCTCAAATCGTGTTTGAAAACCTTTTTGGAAAATGTAAACAACTCATCAACGAACCCAAACATTGGAACAATGTTCCAGCGCGCGGCTTGTGCACGAATCGAAGTTGAATTGAGTTGAAGATGCTTGAAGAAGGTTAAAGAAGGCAATGAAGTTGGTTATCGACGAGGTCGAAGCTCGCGTTACGTGCTCGCTGCCTGCGCACGTCCTCTGTGAGAACTTGTGAACTTTTTCGTCTTGGTAACGAGCGCGCCCGGAAAAGTTTAAACAAAATTACAAAAAAGAAACGCGCAAATATAAAGCGCGCGCAATTAGATATTATTCGGCGATTAGAGCGTTGGTAGTGGGCGCGGATCGATATTTCGGATGCTAACAACTTTTTCTTCTGGCGCTCATTGTTTTTCGCCTCCTGCTTTTTTTGCTTGTTGAGGTCAATGGGGCGTTTTGCAACGTTAAACTCACGGATATCGCATTATTTCTTACGATTAGAAGCATGTTTGCCTCTTGCCTCATTCTAATCGCACTTTGTACACTTGAAATCGTTTCGTCGTTTCGCCATTTCCTTCGTCGAGGCGAAAGTAGCCATTACAGTACAAGTCGAGCGTGACCGAATCGATTTATTTACAATCAATTAGAATGTAAGAATGTGGCCACTTCGACTTCTGCCTGCAGTACGGTTTCATTGCAAAACAATCCTCGTGGAAAAGCGGGCGAAAGGAGTAAAGGCGCATTTCTCGTAATTGCGTACAAAGAAATTTCACGCCGGCATGCCTGACACACTTGCACTTTAATTAACTACGTGACGGCCATTAAAATAAAATACAGAACAAGCCGTCAGGCTTGTGTATGCCTCATCCAGGCCAAACCGTTTGACTTACATTTCAAGCTGCATTTGCTTTTTTTCCAGCTTTTGTTTTTTTTTTCTCTCTGCTGTTTTGTTTTTAATGCGAACAGAGAAATGCGCAAACTGTGGCATGTCGAATCGATGAACGATGGGAATTGCGCGAAATGTGGCATGCACAAAACGTCGAATAATTGGAATTGCAAAATCGGCAACACGCAAAATTTGCACAAATGAAAAATGAACAACGCTAGTCTTGCATGTTATGCAAACTTTGTGTTGTTGTTGTTGTTATTACAATCAGCTGAATGAAGTAAATTTCAGTTGGCCTCGGCGAGATATTTGTGTAAAATTTTGCAATGGTTAATAGAAAATTTTAAGAATTTTAATATTTCTACCCTTTTAAAATTCTTCATTGTTTTATTACGCAGGTATGAGCTACGTGCTACGCGTTCGCGCGTGGAAAGTTCATAATGGAAGTTTAGCCCATTCAGCTGGTTCCTCTCTTTATCTTGTCGACATGGGCGTTGTTGGCAGGAAATATTCCTGCTTTTGGGCGCACCTACAGCTCAGTTTATTTATTTCAGTGCAATTACCAGGTCTCACTCGCAAGCTCGCCAAGGCCGGTGTTTTTTTTTTTTCAAAACAAAAGTTCATTACGCCCAGCTGCAATGAAAAAGCAAGAAGCACCTCTTTCTGCTATTTTATTAGCCGCTTTTTCCATTCATTACAACACCGACACTTTACTTCGCAATCTTCAGGTAGCCACATTCCAATACATTCGTCTGAAATGGCTCACTCGACCCATTATCTCGTTTTGTTTCACCATAAAAACAGTGCACATTTTTTCACGAAAAAAAAATGATGATCCAAATTAAAATTTTGTTTCATTGCCGTTTTATTAGCGTAATTTTTGAATGCGCACGCGAAATCACGTAAAATATTTTTCTCGTTTTGTTTTTATAAGCGGTTGCGGAGTGTCGCGCGCTTGTAAAATAATAAATTTATCGCATTGCGAGCCGGCTTTTTTTCGCGTGCATGTTTTTTGTATTTTTTAAGAGGGCGCAAGAGGAAAATTGTTTTTCCCCAAGCACCCGAAGCGTGACCCTCGCGATCGCTGGTGTCATAACCGTGGGGCGGTTAAAACCCCGCAAAAACAGCGACACATCGCGAAAGCCCACCTCTTCACCCCGGAAACCTGCGAGAGAGAAGAATTTATGAGTTCATTATGCCGCTCAAACAAGTACGCTGCGGATTCCACGCCTGGGAGATATCTCAATTATGATCCGTGCCGCATTTCTGTTGTGTGTTCGTTTTTTTTTTCCGGCGTGCGACCCAAACTCATCATAATCACACCTCGTAAAATTCGGCCCACGCGGCGCATTCCGTGAGCGATTTTAATAAGCTAGTTGGCGAGCATAGTTGGGCGGAAAATTATCGAGACACTTTTATCGAAGTGGAGAGTCGATAACTTTTTAGATTATAGAACCGTTATCTAAGCGACGGCGGTAATATATTCATGATGCGTT